ATAATAGAAAAAGAAAGAAACCCAACGCATAGAGATGTGATGCAACACTTTTTCCCACAGAATTTGCAGACACCAGCAGTTTACATTGTTTCCCAGAATTATGTCAGGACAGATGCAAACTTACATGGTTTGATCAAATGACCGGAAAACCCTTTCAATAGCTTTATACTTCCCGTCTCTCTCTATAACCAAACGCCCCATGAAATAACTCCTCCAGCTTTATTTCTCTGTTATTCCAATAAACTTGAACCTGTCTGTACCGCCAAAGCCTCGGGGTATAATTCCCATCAACAGCAAGTGACCCTGAAGCAATATTCAACTGTTCTCAGTGCACCAGACGCCAGCCATAAAAACAAAAAGACAAACAACAACCAAAAAATCCACCAAAAACACAAAATAAAAACACAAAACAAAAACACAAAATAAAAACACAAAATAAAAACACAAAACAAAAACACAAAATAAAAACACAAAACAAAAACACAAAACAAAAACACAAAATAAAAACAAAAAACTCCAAAAGTAACAACAAAGAGAGACAGAAAAACTTCCCACCGTGCTGGGTTATCCATCACATGGCCACCTATCCAGTTAATTACTCTTCTCTCTTTCTCTCTCTTTCTCTCTCTCTCTCTCTCTCTCTCTCTCTCTCTCTCTCTCTCTCTCTCTCTGTCTCCAGTGAATTACTCCCCTTTCTCTCTCTCTTTCTCTCTCAAGTGAATTACTCCTCTATTTCTTCCCTCAACCCTCTCTCTCTCTCTCTCTCTCTCTCTCTCTCTCTCTCTCTCTGTCTCTCTCTCTCTTCCTGTCTCCATGGAATTTCTCCCCTCCCCCATCTCTCTCTATCTCATACCCCCCTCGCCTCTTCTGTCTATCAGTAACCCCTCCCCCCTCCCTTTTCCCTCTCTTCTCACGTCGATTCCCCCCCCCCCCCACCCCTAAAAAAAAGCACATAACAGCAACAACAACAACACCAAAAACAAAATCCTGTTTGTCGCTTGTCATGTCCCCCGAGAGCTCTTCTACGGGTTGGCAAGAGCTGGCTTTCCAGGAAATCTCTCTGTCGTTCAAACAAACTGACAAGAGTGATTTTTTCCCATTATTTTCCCTGGACTCTCGTTTTGTCTGGACTAGAGCTGGGCAATGAGTCGCTTTAGCAAAATCCGGATGATATGTTTGTGAACCTCTTCGGCAAATAATAA